AGTAAAATTTAATACTTAGTCTAACCAAGGTGTGTGTGGATGTAGGATGGAGCTAGATAGATACCCACGCTCACATTAATTCTATTTTGAAATATTTTGCATATGGAACAAACCGTATACTGATTCTTTTCTAACTCTATTCAAAACTATCCTTCTTACCTGGATCTTGCTCATATAAATAGATATTTTTGTGTCTTAATTGAACACTCAGAAATGGAATCTATTCGTCATTTGAATCTTTCATCACTCTATTAGTCACATCACGTAATATGTTTACAATGTCTTCGTTTGGAGTTGCAATGTGTTCCAGAAGATGCTTCATAAATAAACTATTCTTCTCTTCAGCTCTATCATTTACTAATGTACCAGGTGCGCAAGCAAAAGCAAACAATGCACCTGCTTTATTCACTGCTGTTAGACCAGTTGATTGAAAACTGCCTATATTCAAGGCACGTGTGCCTAAATCAGGGTTTCGTAAGACGTATTCTCTACAACAGTCCAAGAGAAAAATGGTTACATATGGCTTTCGATCAGTTAAAGTATTAAGAATATCTTGTGCATCAATGGCATTCTTTTTTAAAATGTCAGCTATCTCTTTTTTTTTAAATGTCTTTTTTTACAATATCCACTATCTTTTCTGAATATGTTTCATTGATTTCAGGGGAATTAGGAAAGTCTCTTGGTATCAAGTAGATTTGATCCTAAAAGTAAAACAGATAAAGCTCATTAAAGAGTGAAATAACTTGATGATAAAAGTCTTGATACATACTTCCCATTGTACCCCATGTCTAGCAAAATAAAATAAGACTACATCGTTGAATTGTATTGAATGTTCAAAATCAACAAGCTTATATTTTATCTGAGCACGTATTTTATCCAATAATGCATCATCAGTAATAAAGTCAATATGTTGCAAAAGAGATGACAACTCTCTCGCATCATTCTGTCGATTTTTAATTTTGAAACATATTCATAATCACCAATGCCAATTATAAAGGCTAACTTACGTCGCAGCTCACGTGTAGCATCAGATGTTGCTTTAGCTGCCATCAGGGGACATATCTAACTAGACAAGTTAAAGTAACTATAAACATTAGTGCAACGATAAGAAAAAGTACAAGAATGAACTTGAACTGAATCGATCAACTGATGTTCTGCTTAAAGAAAAATGTGCTAATTCAACGATCATGTTTGGTTTATTATAATACTGAAAAGGTCTAAGCTTGCTACCTGCCCTTAGATCGTCATCAGACACAAATATCAAGTATGAAAGAAAGAAAATAAACCATATATGTAGTGAATATCATCTCTTTATCTATGTTGTGCTGTTTCTTTTCAAACACTACAATATAAAGTGGAGATACTCTTCGTTGCATTATCGATACTATAGTGTTTTAAAAAAAGAATAACAAAACACAGATAAAGAGATTGTACCTAGTAAATATATAGTGTGGTTTTTTTTATCTTGCATGCTCGGTCTTTGTATCATATAACGACTTGAAGACAGAATGAAAACTGACGTATTTTGATTTTTATAATAAAACAAGCATGATCGCCGAATTAGTGCATTTCACTTTGAGCTTATTACCTCACTGTGTGAATATAAATGGATAGCAGACCCATCAACACTTGCAGACACAATCAGAAGTTGTGGCTGCGGGTGGATATGCATGATGGTATTGAATGATGAGTACATGAGTATCACCATGGATGTGATTCTCCTTCTCACTTAGACTACAGCTATAGACATCCAACCACATCCTAGTTTGAAGCTTTTTCACGTCACTTTTCCACATACAAGTCACGTAATACTATCTTGACGGCTGCTTGTAGTTTACACATTCGTTTGTGATTTGAAACTCTTGGCGATGAATCCAACAAATTGATGACTAGCCTGAGACTCTTCGTTTCTCACCTAAGGGTTCGTGTGCGAATTTAAACATGTTTATCTGACTCTGAGCCATCCCTATATGGCTGAAAAGTTTTCACTGATATTTTGCTAACCGGATGTGTGACTATTATCTTTAGTTTCCTAATTCTTAGGGATCCGTATAACTCTGCTGCGCGATGTCTTTCAACGTCCTTTCTAATGACTACTCGGTGGCTCTAAACTGCCCAACAGCACCCTGAAAAACTGGTGAAAGAGCCTAAGGTTTATATATGGACGCTGATGCATGAGCCTCTGGCTCAAAGCTTTTGAATCTCAGTTTTGTTCATTGATGAGTGGTTTGAAGGTACTTCGTCTTCATGATGATACTTTCTTTTGTGAATCGAAATAGTTCAGCCTCCATGTTGCCCATTATTCTGAGTCGCGAAGCCTCTTCAGCTAACTATATCGTATTACTGAAGGAAGCAAAGTTTTTTTGAAATGGCAGCTACGAATGGAAAGAAAATAGGGGCATAAGTCTTACTGGATATAGACAACATTATAAAATTTGTTTGAATAAAATGATGAGAACATATGGGACGGCTGTCGAAAAATTTGTCAGCGAAATCACCAACTGACATACATTGGTGTATCGATCGATTCTTAAAAGTAAAGTCGATCACGGGTCTACGTGTTTCTTTCTCGAAACATTCGTTTGTTACGTTTTTCATCATGGCAACACTTTACATATCTTATCTTTCTTCTTTCAACTTCTATTTTTTTCGTTTTATATTTTATTTTTGTCAACTATGCGTTCTATTAATAAAGGTTGCAAATTGCAACAATAGAACATGCAACATGAAGAGCAGACGATGATTAATTGTGAATAAGAGAAGAAATTCATGTTCATCGTTCAAAAATAGACAATAATGAACTATGATAGTCATCATGGAATATTTAATAGAGACTCTAACTATCGATAGTAAACAGAGCGCGATTTTCCTAGAAATGATTTCAATTTTTTTTTCGTTCCTAAATAGATGAAACTTACTATGATATGAAACTGATATAACTTTTTTGTACGATAACATAAAAATGGATAGTTAAGCAAATCTGACACATTCATTTTACTTCTTCAATAGAATTTATGTACACCTTCGCAAGCATTGCTCAGATAATTTAAATTGTAAAAAAATCGTATTTTCTATTATTAATAAAAGGATTCTCCTGCAATTATTTTATTTTAAATCATTAAAAAAGACGTTCGTTATATAAAAAAAAGGCAACTTTACATGCAATTGCATGTTCAAAGATCTGTTTAAAATAAAAACATTGACGAAAACTCATTGCTATTAAAAGAACTATGTAGTACATAACATCATCATGACATGTTGGAGAAATTTTGCTGTTGTAAAACTGCTTTTCATATTAATATTAGCTTAATATATAGCAACTGAATAATCGTGAAGTTTCTATTGTTCCAGAGCTGCGATATATGTTCGTATTAATCATCTATATAGTTTCAATATACGACCAAGAAGAATGTTCCATAGCATGAATATAGCTCAGATCAAACATTGTTAGTTGTCGCCAATATTTGTTGTTTGATAATTAAATTGCTCAAGTTGAGATATCAGTAGACGTAATATGATCTCATTACAGTTAACAAAATGTAATACACTTGAAATTTAAAGATTATTCATAAATGAATTTGAAATGTCAAAGTTGTAAGTTTTAGAAAATATGCGAATGATTTCTGTTTATTATTTATTATTACATTAACATATTTTTCTGTCACATAATCACAAACATAATAAATTTTTAAAGAGTGTGATAAAGTCTTTTCAAAGAAAGTATGCTCATGATTCTCTAGTAAATAATAATGGCTAACGTTACATAGACGTACCATACGCTTAACAACCATTTCAATGTTGGTGAAAATATTTCGAATAATTTTTAGTATAGACATACAAGTTGTCAATGTTATCAAGTACATGTAATATAATATGCATTAAGTACTACTATTCGATTTTCTTATAACACCGATTGATTCTTGCGTTCAAACACTTATTGTTTCTACTCAATAAAAAAATTATTCAAATTCTATTACCCGTATGAAATCTGGCTTTAAATCATTAAATTACTGCTCTTTTTTCAGTTCATTCATCGAAATATGTCAAACTAGTTTACTCACTAAGAATGATACGAGTATCTTATTCCTTAATATTAATTCCAGTCATTGCAAAAACTATGTCTTAATAGATTGCTGAAGTGTTTCGAGATTTACCTTTCATTCGAATTACAACATATGAGTGACACGCTAAATTACATAACAATATCATACCAAATCAGAGGCAATTTGTGGTTTATAGCACACTGTGGTTTTTATTTCTAGTCAGTTCCAAAAAATGTATTTTCAAAAATTTATTAACAACAAATCAAATTGAATAACTAGAACTTAATATCAATTAGTAATAAAATACTTCATACTTAAGCAGAACTTTATGATTTGAAAGTTGCGATATGAACGACAAAAAAAGTTTTTTTCTCTATTTCATATGAGTCATAACATTTTGGAGAAAGAGAAAAAAAACACAATACCCCGTGCAACAACAAGGTTAACGATGTAGTCGAGAGAACGAAAGAAAAATACTGCTTTTTCTTATTCTTTCTGACGGATAAAAAACTAACCTTAGTTTCTTTTTCTTCTTCACATAGAGATAAAAACATGAGTTTAGAATTATTGGCAAACGAACTTTTACTTGATTTATTTGAATATTTCAATGCTCATCATCTTCTTCTTGCTTTTTACGGGCTTAATACTCGTTTCGATCAACTTCTCTTCATTCAACTTCAAAAATATTACCTCGATTTTCGTTTCATATCAAAAAATGATTTCGAGTATTTTTGTCAACAATATCTTGCATCTATTAATAATCGAATCATATCACTCCATCTTTCGGATGATGTCGAAACACCAAATTTACCTCAACTTTTTCTTTCGCATGGCTATCATATGAATCAATTCATTCATTTAAAATCACTTTCAATAGACTGTATCTCTTCCTTTGACATATTAAATCAAATAATAGTTCAATGTCATGAACTTTTACATCTAACACATCTAAATATAATGATACATAATAATCAAGATCCTGAGGAAAAATTTCGTGATGCAATAAACAATATTTGGAGTCTACCAAAACTTACGCATTGTTATTTAGATATTCAATATCCATATGCAACATGGCTTCTTGAAATGACAATGATTTCTCAATCTATTACGTATTTGTCTACTAAAAGTATTTGCTATAGTTCATATAGTTTATTACATTTATTTAAACATACACCACATCTTGAACGACTTCATATAGGTAGCATTGGTCAATTCTATGATCAACATATACAAACTATCATCCCATCATTAATTTCATTGAGTATGTCTGCTCAATTTACATTACAATGGATGAAAAATCTTTTTCAACAAATACCAAATTTATGTTATTTAACACTCGAAATAAATAATATTTATTTAGATGGACATGGATGGGAAAAGATTCTTAGCAATTATTTTCATAAGATTAAAAATTTTCGTCTTAAAATGACAATTGAATTTTCTCCTTTGGAAGATATAGAAGAACAAGTCAATCAACTAATTGATTCATTTCGAAGTCATTATTGGATTGAAAAACATCAATGGTTTGTTCGATGTGATTGGTGTCCCATGGATATAAACAAGACTGGTCTTCTTTATACATTACCTTATGCTTTTGATACATTCTATTATACAGATGGTAGTCAATCAAAATCAACTACTCCGAATAGTTTAGATAATTTTTATCGTAATTCATCGAAAATACTTCATCATACTAATCATAAGAGAGATCTTTCTCAAAATTGGATTCTTTATCCTGTTCAATTTTTTAATATTCGTCATCTTCAAATCAAACTTCCATTCGATGACACATTTTGGTCACTTATTCCAACATTAGATCAATTGATTTCACTTGATGCAAAATTAAATCGAGATTTAGGTTATTCTCAATTACAAACATTACTTGATCGAGCACCGCATCTCTATTCATTGCGTTTTTGTCACTTTAATGATTTCTCAATGACATCATTTAATATTAAAAGTACATCAATTCGTCGATTGGAATTTTTTCAACATCTCGAAGTTCGTTTGCGATATTTTAATAGTGAAGAATGTACTATTTTGGGTAATTCATCACTTGCTTTTCAATGTGAAGTTCTTATGATTGATGTTGAAAGTCGATCAAATATTCTTGAACTCATCAATACAATGCCTAATCTTCGAGCGTTAAGTATTCGTTGTAAAGATAATGAAAATAATCAATACGAATCATTTGAAATAAATGATAATTTAATCGAATGGTTACATCAAAATTTATCATCTAAATATGCATATACAATCAATCGAAATTTATATAACATGGCTCGTATTAATTTGTGGATTTCGAATCCATCATTAGAAAATAAATAAAAATTCTCAACAATGTTTTCTAAATGATCATTCAAAGCAATTCTTTTAAAATTTCTACAAACCTGATGTGCTAATAAATAATCTGCAATGTTTTATTTTTATTGTTTTGTATTACATTCGAATGTGTCATTATTTTGTCTATATCGCACATATTAACATCAAACACATGAGATTACAGAAGACAAATGGTTATGTAATGAGTGAACTTCCTTGAAGTGTATTTTTCAACCTTTGAAGACTTTCACTTGAAGACATTAGTCCAATATCAGAGAATAGTTGCATTTTGTCAACGGATCTAGAGGACAACTAAAATGTGGGCGAAGTTTCTCATAAAAGGAAGACTTCTACGTGTAGTAAATTATCAGCAACCAAGGACTGAAATTTTATCAAGCAGCAGACCTAGCAAAAGGCTTTAAGTCCAATGAAGATCTATGCTTTTCATATATTGTTAACTGTTCCAACTGTCCTGAACTGCCTATCCACTCTCAAATGATGTATCGAGTTTTCTTTGAATATTAACATGCATAACCAAGTATCGTATAGATAGGTTTAAGATGAAAATATGAACACTACAGAATATATCTTCATTCAAAGTCTATATTTCAATCGTATGTAGTGGTGTATGAAGTTTTTTATAATATTACTGATTGTGCAATTCATTAGAGGATAAATCATGTATGTCTATCTAGGGTTTCAGTTCTCAAGCACTTTCGAAATGCGCATGGATTTCATTTGATTTTTATTATGCATGTGCATTTCGCCAAATGAAATGGCCCATCGAAGCTTAACTAATAAAATAAAAATTATTCACAAGCAGAAAAAAAAAGAATAAATATGAGAACTTTTTGTGGCTTTCATTTGGTGAAATAGCTATTCGTTGAATCCTACACCTTTTACGAGAGAAAAATACAGCTTGCGAGCGCAGTGTTTGTTTTCAATTGCACTCGAACCAATAGCAAACCGTAGCAATAGTTTGATCAGCTGCATTTCTTTTGCCTACGCATTATGGCAACACTAAAACAAACTGCATCTTCCAGTCAACAATCAAACAGAAAGAACTGAAGTACAAATAATATATTCATTAATATAGATCAACCGTAGTGACCATCATAGTCTCATAACAATTACGTAAACACTCGAATCAATCAATTTCAGTGTTGATGAATGATCGGTAACGTAAAGTTCTTAGTTGCACAACTTAATACTTTGCTTTTCAACAGAATAGAAGAAAAAAAATTAATGATACAGATTTATGTCAAAATTTACCGTAAATAAACGCTCAATAATACAAAAAACTATGATTAAATTAGACAATTTTCATAAGTGGATTTATTTCGACAACTGATATTTTTGAAACGTGCCTTCATATCTAATACATGTTTTTTTCGTATGAAAAATAGTAATCTTTCTTATTTAATTACAATAACACATATCTGAAAATGAACCGTAAACATTGATTTGACTAAAATAGATGACGTTAAAATTTGCGAAGGTCTTCTATTTGAAAATAAATGTAATTCATTACATTTTACTTTTTTTCCTTAGAGAAACAACATCGATTTCTGATCATTCGCAGATTCATATATCAATACCAGTCAATGATACTTCTGTTCCAAGCACCATTATTCATCAAACTGATGAAGCTTTTCAGCGTCATCATTCTTCTCAACGCCATAGTCGAAGAAATACACGTATTTCTATGGATCTTTCATCGAAAGGAATACTTGCATTTCAAAATATTAGTTACGTTATTGGTCGACAACAAATGATTTGTCGATATAAAAATTGGTATCCACCTTTTATGAAACCAAAATCGACAAAACAAATCATTGATGATGTTTCTGGTATTTTTGCATCAGGAATGAATGCTATCATGGGTAAGAACTCACTATTTGAGCTAAATTGTAAAAGACCTTAAATATTGAAAATTTCATTCCCATGTAAAAAAAACAGCCTAAAAATCTGATTTAAATTGATTTTTCTGCGAAAAATCTGGAAAAATCGATTAAAAGAAGCAATTTTGATTAAATTTGTGGAAAAAATCGATTATAATCGATTTAACACAGCTAAAACTCGATCAAAATCGATTATTTTTAGAAAATTCAACATAATCGATTAAAAATCTAATCGATTTTAATCGATTACGTTGAAGAATCCATTAAAATCGATTATTCTTAAAAAATTGGAAAAAATCGATTAAAAATCTAATCAATTTTAATCGATTACTTTGAAGAATCGATTAAAATCGATTATTCTTAGAAAATTCAAAAACGTCGATTAAAAATCTAGTCGATTTTAATCGATTACGTTGAAGAATCCATTAAAATCGATTATTCTTAAAAAATTGGAAAAAATCGATTAAAAATCTAATCAATTTTAATCGATTACTTTGAAGAATCGATTAAAATCGATTATTCTTAGAAAATTCAAAAACGTCGATTAAAAATCTAGTCGATTTTAATCGATTACTTTGAAGAATCGATTAAAATCGATTATTTTCAAAAAATCCTAAATAATCTATTAAGAATCTAATCGATTGAAATCGATTACTTTGAAGAATCCATCAAAATCGATTATTCTTAGAAAATTCAAAAAAATTGATTAAAAATCTAGTCGATTTTAATCGATTACTTTGATGAATTGATTAAAATCGATTATTCTTAGAAAATTCAACATAATCGATTAAAAATCTGACCAATTAAAATCGATTAATGTTGGTTATTGATTAAAACCGATTATTTTCAAAAAATTCTAAATAATCGATTAAAAATCTAATCGATTTTAATCGATTAACATAGGTTCTATTCGATTATTCTGGACGTTAATCGATTTTAATCGATTATTCTGGATGTTAATCGATTATTTATGTAATTGCGCAATCTCAATTGATTCAATTTATATAGGAGTTCCAATTTTAGTATATATGTGAAGCTCTAGCTTGATGACAACCTAAGGGTTTCTTGCCACGAAAAATTCAAAAAAATCATGGAAAAACTAGGGTTTCGCGTTCGAATCTCGGTAAAAGTGCCTATTTTCGAGGGATACGATTAAAATTGATTATCTAGTAAGTAAAGATTAAAATCAGAAAACAGATAAGGGTGGATTAAAATCGGAAAACAGGTAGGTACAGATTAAAATCGGAAAACAAGTAAGTAAAGAATAAAATCGAAAAATAGTTTAGGATAGATTGAAATCGGAAAACAGGTAAGAGTAGATTAAAATCGAAAAACAGATAAGGGCAGACTAAAATCGAAAAATACATAAGGGTAGATTAAAATGTATTAGGAAATAATAATAGATTAAAATTGACTAAAAGGCGGCCATACGAAGAGGTGAGAACAGCCTGAGTTTAATTGATTTTAATCAATTTTTGAAAAATAATCGATTTTAATCGATTTTTTTTTGATTAATAATCGATAAAAATGGCACGATTTTAATCAGATTTTAATCCGATTTTTAATCATAAAAATCAATTACGCTATGAAAAATCGGAACAAATGATTTCTATGATTAAAAATCAGATTAAAATCTGATTAAAATCGTGCCATTTTAAGTGATTATTAATCAGAATGTTAATCCATTAAAATCTGATTTTTTCCAATTTTTTTTTACATGGGTTATGTATATAATTTTCTCAAAGCTATTCTTAAGTCAACAATATGTAGGACCAACTGGTTGTGGTAAATCATCTCTTCTTGATATATTGGCTTATCGTAAAGATCATCATGGTGTTTCTGGAAAAGTATTCATCGATGGATATCCACCACCTCCATCATACAAGTATATTGTTGGTTATGTTGTTCAAGATGATATTATTAGTGGAACACTTACTGTACGAGAAAATCTCATGTTTTCAGCAAATGTTCGTTTATCTGATGATGTTTCTAACAATGAACGTAAAGAACGTGTAACAAAAATTATTCATGATCTTGGACTTGAAACATGTGCTGATACAAAAATAGGTACCGAGTTTTTAAGAGGTGTATCAGGTGGAGAACGAAAACGAACATGTATTGGTATGGAACTTGTACTTTCGCCCAAAATACTTTTTCTTGATGAACCAACTACAGGTTTGTAAAATTGAGGTTCATTTTTGAAAAGACACCTGAAAACGAAGTATTGAATAGATTAAAGTTTATTCTATAAGTTAAAATGTCATGATTTATATCATTTTCATATAGGACTCGATGCATCTACAGCTCGAAATGTCATGGAATGTTTAAAAGAACTATCAAAAAGTGGACGTAAGTTTTACTTTTTCTTATCGAGTAACTATATTCTTACAGTAAAAAAACCTAATAAATTTCAATATAAGGTACAATTATTTTCTCTATTCATCAACCTCGTTATTCAATATTCAAACTTTTTGATACTGTTCTTCTTATGTGCAAAGGCAAAAGTATTTATCATGGTCCAGCTTTAGCTGTACTTCCTTTTTTTAACATGCAAGGTTATTCATGCGAATTACATGATAATCCTGCTGATTTTGCATTGGATGTTCTTATTGATGCAAGTCGAAAACCTGAAAATATAGAAAAATTAAACAAAGCATATATGACATCTCAAATATATGCAACTATTAGTTCTTTATTGAAAAAGCAAGTGAATGGTAATAGTTTAGAAAAAATTCATCGAAACGAACAAGGAGTAGCAGCACGTTCATTGATTACAGAAATCTATTATGTATCACAACGAACATTAAGAAATGCTATAAGAAATCCTGAATTATTTCTATCTCAAGTAATAGTCGCTATTATTATGGGTCTTCTAGTAGGATTAGTCTTTAATAATATGGAAAAAACGATTGATCCTGGTGTACAAAATCGTTTAGGAGCTATCTTTTTTATTGTTGTCAGTCAAGTATTTAGTACTATAACAGCACTTGAACCATTGATTAAAGAACGTACGTTATTTATACATGTAAGTTTTTTTCTTTTTCTCGATAGATATCATTGAATGATGAGTTGTTATTTTGTAGGAAAATATTAGTGGTTATTATC